GTTGCGTAGCTTGGTATTCCTGTGGGACACCTAACAGTGAGAGTGGGCCAGTCTCTGACTTTCTTCCCTGCTTTTGGCCTCGTTTCCTTGCACTGGGTTGCCTCAGCCTTACCCTGAGAGATGCTGTTACGACTTGCCATGCCATGTTTGGTTATTCCTGGCAGGCCTGCCCTTTTCTGAAGGGAAAGGAGAAGTGGAGGTGGGGGAAGACTGCTGTTGGGATGTAATATATGAGAGAAAATTTTTAAAATCTTATCACTGGGAATGTAGCTTATCTAGCATGCACAAAGCATTGACTTCAGTACATAGAGTACATTAAAAAGTTTTCTGATGAAGTCAAAATCTTGCTTACTGGTTGCATTTCAGTGGAAATTAAAGTCTCCGTTACATGTAGTCAGTCTTTAGAGAAAGTGTTTTAAAAGGAAAACATGCAATTGGTATGAATGGTACTTATGATACATTTAGTTAAGAATTTTAAATTAAAACATTAAAGAGTTACATCCCCAAAGTTAACCTTTTTTCAGGTGGTATGATCCAAACACTCTATATAGATTGTTTCCAAAGCCACCAACACCTTCCACTCTACAAAGGAAGAATTTTTTCTGGCATAGAAGTAAGTGTGTTAATAGGTGCAGGCATGTAGACATGTTTCCTCACTGAACGGTGCGTGTTGGTTTCAGTCTTCAGAGACTTCTTAGTAAAGCCTTTCCTGTAGGAATTTTGTTACTTCAAGGAGACATCTTCCTCCTCAGGAGGTTCACCACGCCAAGCTAAAGATGAATGCCCTGCAGCCCTCTCATTTCTCCACGAACATTTACTATTGTTTCAGACTGACACCGATGCTTGGCATTCAGAAGCATTCTCCGAAAAATGTGCTATTTACACAGTTTATAGCCACCCTGCTGACAGAACTGCATTTAAAATGTGAAGATCTTGAAAATTTAACCACTATATTTAGAACCAGCTGCTAACCAGAATGGTAAGTTGGGTTGTATCTCATAAGTTTGTTACCTCTGTGAGCTTTTGATTCATGCTCAGCAAGTGTTCTTCCACTGACCTATGCTCCCAGCCTCAAGTTTAAAATTTTAAAAACCAAGAGCAAACCCCAAGCTGACTGTAGCTGCCAAAGACTCTTCCAGCCCAAACCTGCAGCTATGTCTGCTGCTCAGTCTTCCTTTGTAGACTCTAGCACCTGTGGTCCTTGCATTCCAGGACATCCCATTTATCCCACCTGGAAATGTTTTCTCTGGAAGTAGAAGTTCTCATTCTGCTGTAATATACTACGACCTGCTGAGTCACCTATGGTTGCTCTCAGGGCTTACCACTTGATATTGGATAACCAATTAAGAGGCTCATCTCCGGAGAGGACTAATTCTCTCCCACACAAGTTCTTTGCCTAGAGATGACCCCATGGAGTTTTTCCCCTTCTGTGTTAGCATATCTACACTGCTGCCCTTACTCTGGTGTGTGTAGGCAGCCATGTTGTTGATCTATTTGAAGTTAGTTTTGGTGTGAAATGATATGAGCCTAATTTTATTTTTTCCTTCTCATTTTTTTTAAATTTTTATTTTTTCATCCTGGTCATTGGCCCCCTCCTACCTTTCCTCCCTGACTCACCCTCCCTGTTTCCCCTACCCTCCCTCCAACCCCATCCACCCACCCCAGCATATCAAATGGGGGCACATCAGGAGATAGCTGCCGCATCCTGAGGAGCACCTGGAGGACCATCCCAGGCTCCCGTCTGATGGAGAACTACAGCTAGCCTATAATTTTCTTTTCTGCTGTCTTTACATGGTCTTGGTATTAGTATTAGGGTAACTTCCTGGATGGAGATTTGGGAGTACAGGTTTTAAAGTATCCCCTTACCACATTCTGAATTTCTTTTGTGCATGTTAGTGTTTCCCTGTTCGTTTCTATGTTAATTTAAGTCAATTCTTTCATTTGGTTAGTTGATCCAAGGTCTGTGCAGCTTGTTTATCTCCTCAGAGAACCAGCTTTTAGAAACAAGGAAAACAGTTGGGTGGTGCGCACCTTTGACCCCAGCACTCAGCAGGCAAAGGCGGCAGCAGCTCTGTGAGTGTTCATGCTACCCAGGTCTACAGAACGAGCGCAGGACAGAGAAACGCTGTCTCAAAATGAATTAGTATAGAAATAAAATTTTTTGAAAAATGCCAGGGCTACACAGAAAAACTATGTCTCAAAAAATGGAAAGAAAAATAGAATTAATCTATTTCATTAATTTTTTATTTCTTGCCATCCATCTATGGGATTTAGGTTTGGTTTGTTGCTTTGTTCTTACTTTTCCAGATTCTTGAGTTGCTTCATCAAGTCATTTATGTGTGTTCTGGTTGTTGTTTTTTTTTTTTTTTTTAAAGCTTAGAACTATAGATTTTCCTCATAAGACTGCTTTCAGTGTGTCCCAAAGGTCTGTTCTTTTTTTCATTTTTATTTAGCTACCATATTAATTTCTCAGTTTCTCTCCAGAAACTTACCCCAGCCAGCATTACAATAATTGAGAGTCATTGTTTAATAAGCTTCACAATACTGAGCAGTTATTACTCTATTCCTAACCCTCTAAGCTAGTTTGGTTGCCTCCCAGCGCACATCCCAGAAATACTTTCATTGTATGGCTTCCCTGTTCCAGCTCCTCTCCTGATCTCGTCTGATCTTCCCTGCACCTCTCTCCTGGCTGAATCCCCTACTTCCTCCTCTAACTCCTGCTCCCCTTACTGGTTAGGAAGTCCAGCCCTATTCTCTCCCCTGCTCAGTGACTGGCTCTAAGCTGCTTTATTAGCATATCAGGGGACCATTAGGGAGCAGGTTTATACAACACTGAGACCGGCGATTCTTAGAACAGGGATGGATTGCAGCCAGATGATATGGAGGTACAGAAATCAGCACTTGAATTACACACTAATCTTATGCCTGCACTGCATTATATTCTTTGATTTCTTCTCTGAATCATCCATTTAGTAATGAGTTGTTTAACGTTCATGAATTTGTTTGCTGTTAAGTTTTACGGCATAATGGTCAGATAGGATACAAGGAATGATTTCAACCTTTCTGAACTTAAGATTTGGTTTGTTTCCCAGAATTTGGTCAACTTTAAATGCCCTTCTACAGGCCGCTGAGTAGAATGTTTATTCCTCAGTGTTTGGGTAGAATATTCTGTAGATATCTGCCCAGCTAAATCCATTTGATATATATTATGTCAGGTAATCTGATGTTTCTGATTTTTTTTTTTTTTTTGTCCAGATGTCCTGTCTGTGGAGAAAGTGGGGTATTGGAATCACCAGCTTTTAATGGATTGATGTTAATTTATGTTTTTAGTAGATTTTAATGAAATTGGGTGCCCCAGTGTTTGTGGGGTTGGTTTGTTGGGTATGAATTCTTTCAGACTGTTTGGAGCATGGAAAGTTTTTCTTTCTCTTTCAACTATGGTACAGAATTTTGCTTGGTATATGTCACTTTTGTTTTTTTCCTCTTTCACCTTTCATTATTTGGTGTGTGAACTCTGATTATGCCATGAAGAGTTTATTTTCTTATTTGGTGTTGTGTGTGCTCGTATCTGTAAAGGCATATGTGTTGGCCTAGGATGCTGCTTCCTCATCTGTGCCTAATTTAAAGGTTTGATTTTGTCATTTGTCATGGTATCCCAAAGGTCCTCCATGTTCCTCTTGAAGTTCAGTGAGGAGGTATTTGTTCATGTCTTCGTTAAACTACTGAAATTCTTTGATAAAGTAATTCTTACCAGAGAACATTTCTATAGGAATAACAGGTTATACGGGAAACATGTTGTCTGATTTTGCTTTTGTAATGTGGCCTAGGCATTTGACCTTAGCTGTATGTCTGAGATGAGATGGATAGCCTGCCTTTGATTGGGCCATTACTGGAATTACATGACCAGAGCTAGGCCAAGTAAAGCTAGTACATACTCTGTCTGATGGATCTAGCTCAGGCAAAGCCATTAGCAAGAGCTAGACCTATTTGTGTGGAGAGAGCAGCTGGCAATACTCACTGGGCCAAGCTGGTTTGCAAGCCAGAGAGTCTTGCAGCAGGCCTTGAATGTCTGTAATAAAAATAAATTTAAAAAGGCAGTTTTCAAGCCAACTTTGAAATACACAGGAAGAATATTTGAAAGAGGTATCCTGGCAGGAAGGCAAGAACAGAATCTAGACGTGTAGCTCAGTGGTAAGGTGTCTGCTTGGTGTGTGAAGCTCTGGGCTACACCATGGGGAAAGAAGGGAGTGACTGCAGGCAACCCATTGTCATAATCTAACAAATGTAAGGGAAGAACAGTCACTCCCTCCCACGTACACTCAGAGCCTCTCAATTGATTTCTGACGGGCCCTTTGAAACAGCGAGCTGAGATTGGCCTATAGAAGAGCATCACGTTCAGAGGTTCTTAAATATACAGTTATTTGACATTTAAGGTCCAGTTGTCAATTCATTATACCCATGTCCATTGGTGGGAAGGCTTATCAGCCACACTGAAAACACAGAATGCCTAATTAGAAGTCCAGGATCCTTTAATTAATGGATGCCGATTCAAAGTCATTGAACTAGCATATCTTAAGTGTGTGTAAATAGGTAGTATTCAAATGGCTCAGGGACCTTCATGTATAGATGTTTCATGTAGACTTTATGCACATTGCTCATTTGCCCCAGACTTTGTCAGATTTTAAAGGATTAGAAATAACAACTATATGACTTTTCTTACATAGATTTTTTTTTTCTGCTTGAATGGTTGATTTTTATTAACCATGGGGAATTGTTGGAGTGTAAAAAATTTAAAAGCAAGGGAGAGAGAAAACTGATAGGGAGAGATTAAGAGTTTTAAGAGATTAAGAGCAAGTAAGAGTTGCTCTAGAGTGGAATACAAACTGGGTTTCTTCCAAGTAGACAACAATAAGACATGGTATGGAAGAAAAGGAACACATAATGGCTGTGTGGAGGTTAAAATATTTTAGGTGTTTTATTCAAACTTTTTTCTTTCCCAGATAAAAGTCAGGAAGACAGAATAGAAGATGAATTCTACTCACCGCACCTGGAACTTTAGCCAGTGAGGGTCCATGGATGACTGATGACTATGTACATTACTTCCTCAGACACAGGAAAGCCATTACCCCAGCAGGAAGAAGAAAGCTTTTATATCCAGAACCTCAAAACACAGGATTTCTATTTGAGAAAGAAAAAAATAAATGAAGTCTTAAATTGAAACTTAAATGAAGAGTCAAAAAAATGTTACCTTTATTTTTCTCTGGTCGATTACAGCCAAAATGCAAGAAAAGTGTAATTGTGTCCTGTTGTAAACTTTATCACAAACCAGCAAAAGTTCCATCAATAAATGTGATCTTCAGGAAAGCCCTTTCCGAGTTTAGTGACCTTTTCAAACGCAGACTGTGCTAACAGCCAGCCCTAAGCTCCCACCAGGGCCCTCCGCAGTGCCTCCACACCCCACCTGGCGCTAAGATGCCGTGTCTTCCTCCACGTCAGCCAGTGAGTACTCCAGAGCTCCCCACCCACACCTTCCCCCCAACCTACCACATCCAGCCAGGCTCCCACATAGTGCCTGGCCTGACTGCACAGCAACAGATCTCCCCCCTTCCACAGGTCCCACATCCCTCTCTGACCACTTGTCGCCAGTCTTTGCTACTTTGTGGGTTCTTTTTCCCACCCTTTACCCCCAACCCTGATCACCCCTATCACTAGATAGGAGAGAAAGAAGGATAGAGGGGAAACAGAGATCCTTGAATCTAATTCCTTTTGTTTCTTCAAGCATGATGGCATGACTACTAACAAAGCAAAATTCCCCTGAACCATCAACAAACACCCACCCCATCTCTCTAGGCCCAAGCACTTTTGTACCCCTCTGAAAAGTTCCCAGAAAAAAACTTTTATCTGCAGCTCACAAAACCACGCTTCTGCTACAGCACTAAGCAAATCATAGTTGCTGTGGACAGTCCAAAGCTGCCCCATATCCCCACACCTGGGATTAAACAATAGCATAATAGTTCTGTGTTTTTAAGGACCCCCAAATTCCAGAATTGTCACTACAGCCACTCCACCCTTCCTCCCCACCTATCCTGTTACCCTGGCCAGCAGCTCCAGCAGGCATTCCCCAAGAACCCTTCATCCAGGCCTGCCACAGAAGCGAGTAGGCCAGCAAAGCAGGAAGGGGCGCTTCCATCTGCACTCCTTCCCTTCTCCACAGCAACTCTGCAGCTCCTGGTGGGACGGCCAGCTTTCTACCCTCCTGACCTTCCTAAGCCCCTCCTCATCGCCCAACCCCATTCCTAAATGTCCACTCCCATAACTCAAAACACATTGACATGGAACCCCCAACAGTCTCACCTAGCAGGATCCCAGAAGAATTTCCTTCCAAGAAACACACAGCCGCACACCCTCCTAAGAACCAGACAAGCCAAGGAACAAAAGACTCACCAAAGTCAGGCATCAGCACTTAGAACTACAAACTTTGCAAATCCAGATGCCTGGACACTGGTGTAAAAATACAATACCATCCAGGACAATGTATGTCTCTACTAGAGTCTAACAACACCACCAAGATAGGCCCTGAGAATTACAAAACAGCAGAAACACAAGACATGCACCTTTGTAACTATGCTAGTGGTCCTTAAAGAGGAAATTAATAAATCCCTTAAATCTATAAAAAACAAACAATGGAAGGAAATAAAGCCATTCAAGATCTAAAAATGGAAATAAAATCAATTTTTAAAAAAACTGAGGGAAAATCTGGAAATGAAAAATCTAGGGGTGCAAACAGGAACCTCAAAGTCAAGCATAACCAACAGAATACAAGAGACAAAAGAGAGAATCTCCAGCATTGAAGACAATAGAAGAAATGGATACCTCAGTCAAAGAAAATGTTTAATTTTAAAAAATACTGACAAAATATCCAGGAAATCTGGGATACTATTAAAATACCAAATCTAAGTATAATAGGAATAGAAGAAGAAACTCAAAGACACGGAAAATATTTTTAACAAAATCATAAAAGAAAATTTCCGTGACAAAGGAGATGCCTATGAGGTATAAGAAGCATATAGAATACCAAAGACTGAAGCAGAAAAGAAATTCCCCTCAGCACATAATAATTAAAACACTAAATGTACAGAACAAAGACGGAGGGAAGAGGTGATGCTAGAGAGATGGCTCAGTGGTTAGGAGCACTGGCTGCTCTTCTAGAGGTTCTGAGTTCAATTCCCAGCAACCACATGTGGCTCGCAACCATCCGTAACAGGATCTGATGGCCTCTTCTGGTATGCATGAAGACAGTACTCACACATTAAATAAATCTAAAAAATTAAAAAAAAAAAAAAACTGCAAGGGAAAAGACCAAGTAGCATATAAGGCAGAGACCTATTACAATAATACCTGACTTCTCATTGGAGACCCTGAAAGCCAGAAGTACCTGGGCATGTGTTGTACAGACCCTAAGAGACCACATATGCTGGACCAGACTACTACACCCAACAAAATTTTCAATCACAATAGATGGAGAAAACAGAATATTCCATGACTATCTACAAATCCAGATAGGGCTAGAAGTACAACTCCAGCATCAGGAGGTTAATGGCACCCGCACCCAAGATAACTCTAGAATAAATCCCAGACCAACAAACTAAAAAGAGAAGCACGCATACACACACATCAAAATAATAACAGGTACCAACAATCACTGCTCATTGCTATCCATCAATCCCTCGATCAATAAAAAGACAGAAAATAGAATGGATGCAAAAACAGGATCCATCTTCTGCTGCATCCAAGAAACACACCTTAGCATCATGGATAGACATCACCTCAAGGTAAGCAAACAGACCTGTGAAGCAAGCTAGTGTAGCCACTTTAATATCTAACAGAACAAACTACAAACCAAAACTAATCAGAATAGATAAAGAAGGACATTACATAATTATCAAAGGAAAAATCCAATAAGACATTGCAATTCTTATGCACCAAAGATGTACTCAAGGGCACTCAAGTTCATAAAAGAAACATGACTATGGCTTAAATCACATAGTGATCCTAACACACCAATAACGGTAGACTTCATACCCCAGTTTTACCAGTAGACAGGTTTCCAAAAAAAGAGAAATGCTATAGCTAACAGATATTATAAACAAAGTGAACACAACATATTTACACAACATTTCACTCAAACACAAAAGAATATACCTTCTCAGCAACTCATGGGACTTTCTCCAAAACTGACCACATACTGAGACACAAAGCAAGTCTCAACAGACACAAGAAAATTGAAATAACTGCCTGTATTCTATATGACCATCACAGATTAACGCTAAATATCAATTTTAAAAATGGAACAAAAAGCTTACAAATTCAAGGAAAATGAACAAATCACTACTGAAAGAAAAAAAAAAAATGTGTCCAAGACAGAAACCAGGAAAGAAATTAAAAACTTTGTGCAAATGAATAAAAACGAATATAAAAGATAACCAAACTTGGGACACAATGAAAGTTCTGAGAAGCAAGTTTATAGCACTGTCTACATAAAAAATTATAGCAATCTCATGCTAGTAATTTAACATACCTGAAAGCCCTAGAACGAAAAAAAAAAAATCACACCCAAAAGGAAAAGACAGCAAATAACAAAGTTAGGACTGAAATAAACAAAACAGAAACAACCACCACCACAACAACAAATAAAAATTCATGAAACAAAGAGTTGGTTCTTTATGAAAATCAGTAAGATTGGCAAACTTTTAGCGAAAAATAACTAAAAGGTGAAGAGAGAAACTAAACTAACAAAATCAGAGATGAGAATGAACACCAATGAAACCCAGAGAATAATAAGGATCTACTTTAAAAACCTTTACTCCAAATTGGAAAATATGAACAAATTGGATAATTTTCTCAATACATACCATTTAACAAAGTTAAAATCAAATGAACAATATTTTTTTTTTTAGATTTTTATTATTTATACAACATTCTGCCTGCACACCAGATCTTACTATAGATGGTTATGAGCTACCATGTGGTTGCTGGAAATTGAACTCAGGACCTTTGGAAGAACAGTGAATGTTCTTAACCTCTGAGCCATCTCTCCAACCCATCAAATGAACAATTTCAACAGACCTATGACCCCCTAGTGAAATAGAAACAGTCATTAAAAGTCTCTCAGCCAAAAACAAAAAAAAAAAACAGGACCAGATGATTTTCCTGTAGAATTCTACCAGACTTTCAAAAGAGTTAACCGCAATACTCTCCTTAAATTATTCCACAAAACAGAAGTAACAATCCCCAATTTATTTTATGATGCCACAGTTACCATGACCCCTAAACCACATAAAGACCAACAAAGAATTACAAATCAATTTCCCTTATCTACATGGATGCAAAATTTTTCAATAAAATACTTCCAAACTGAATCCAAGAACCCATCAAAAAATATCATCCACCATCAAGCAGGCTTCACCCCAGATATGCGGTGAGGGTCCAACACATAGAAACTAATAAATGCAATCTACCATATAAACAGACTGAAAGAAAAAAAGCTACATAATCACTCTCATTAGATGCAGAAAAAGCCCTCCAACACTGTGGCAGGATATTTGATCACATTGTGAACCCCAAGATTATGTTGTTTACTGGAAAAACCTGTTTCTAATTGTAGTGTGCCTGAGCTGTAGCACACACCTTTAATCCAAGAGCTTTTTGTGTGAATATTGTAAACAGGATTAAATAAAGTCAACCATTGGTCAACAGGAAGAGCAAGCAACTAATTGACAGGAAGTGAACATAGGACGAAAAACAGAAAGTAAGAGAAAGTCAGGAGGACAGAGAAACACAAAAAATAGAAGGGAGAGACGTTCAGTTTGAGGATCTTTTGAGCTGATGTGAGAAAGGAGCCTCTTTTTTCGACATGGGCTGAGGAGGAATGTCAGCTGGGTTATTTACAACACCCCTTCATAATAGAAGTCCTGGACAGATTAGAGAGGCAAGGACCACACCTCAACATAAGGAAGGCAGTTTACAGCAAGCCCTCTAGTCAACTTAAAAGGAGACACATTCAAAGCAATTCCCTTAAAACCAGGACCAAGACAATGTCGTCCAATCTTTCCATATTTATTCAATATAGTACTTGAAGTCTTGGCTACAGAAATAATACAAGTGAAGGAGATCAAAGGGATACAATTTGGAAAGGAAAAAGGCAAGGTATGCTTATTTGCAGATTA